CTCTCAAGTTTCTCTCTCTGCTCTTCATCACCATCAGATTCTCTCATTTAGCTAATCTGAAGCTTTACTCCTCACAGGCATGCTTCTGTGTGGGAAGTAGCAGGAAAAGATATAGATGTTCTTTTCATACATGTGGTGTTTAAGTTCCCAAGCCAGAAAAGTACAGCTCTGTACTACTGGACTTTACTGCCCTCCTACTGTGTGTTGTAATACAATGGTCTGTTGTCCCACAGTCCCAAATTCCTGGTCTTGTGCCTTTTAGCATGTCCCCAACCTCTAACCAAAATATCCCCAATAATCTCTCATTTCATCTTGAGCCCTTTTTTCTTACTGGACAGTGTAACTGACCTGATAACTCTTGCATTGCAGTCTGGGAGCTGTTTCATTGCACTTTCCTGATAAGAAGAAAAAAGAACCCAGTGAGTGTTAATTTCAGTTAAATGAACATATTTTTACTAATATATTTTTGCTTAAACTCTGCTCCTTACAGTATTTAAAAAACCCATTTTTCTGTGGATTTTGTTCCTTTGTACTACATCTATCCCCTTTCTCCCAGTGCATTAGCCTCAGCTGCCTTTGACACTCCCCCCAGAATACAGATGACATTTGGCATGGCTAGGCAGGAGCTACCTACATACTTCTTAATTAGCCAGTATGTATGTATGGATTGGCCAGATGTCTTTCTCTGAACAGAATATGTAATGTTAGCTTTTGCCTGCCTTTCCCTCAGATCTGCTGTTCTTAGATGTCTTGCTCTTGCACTTAGCCACTGACTTTTTTTTTCCTTTCCATAAGACTCTTAATAGCTTTGACATCTAGATCATACCAGTCATTTCTAAATCAACTGGGAAGAGACAAAGTCTTAGGGGAGGGAGGGAAGAGAACACTACGAGGGGATCTGTGTCAGTGTAATAGTTTGAATCAGGAATACACCTTTAGAGTGACTATCCTTGTCTCTCCTCACTGTAGTTCAGTTTGCTACAGGCAGTGGCTTCAGAGCTTGATTCCTCCTGTTTTAAGCCAAGAGATGTGTTCAGGAATGTGCTGAATGTTCTCCAGCCTTTAACGTGTGTTTAGTATATGAGACTGCTCTAGAACTAGCCCAGAGCGAAACTGCTCAATGTGGCTAGTGTAAACTCTGAATTTTTGTTACCAGATACTCTGCTCTACAGATCCACTCTTGATGATGCTGTACTTCTTGCTAATGTAGATGTAGCCATAGCTGTCATTTTCATAAGTTTCATTTTAGCAAAACATTCTGAAGCACTTCTGTCAAGTATTTATAGCAGAAATTTTTTACATTCGATCCACTGATTCCCAGTCTGGAGTAAAATGCCATTGGAAGAGAGGGATATTTTTCTTAATTTTTTTTCCTCTGCAGATACAGTAAGATACAGGAAACAGAGGAGAACAGGCGTAGTTGGGAAGATTGCCTTATGCTAGATCCCCTGCTTTTTAATTGCCAATGCATTCTAGAGCTCAAGCATACATCCAATATTTTGGAAGTTAACCCATCTACTACTAGTATGGTGTGAAGCTTATACTGAAACTTTCCCTTGGGGGCAACAATGACAGGTTATTGTTGTTGTTATTATTATCCACCAGCCCCCCTTTTCCATGAGATTTGTGAGTACTTAATATATTTGAAAACTTTGCTGTCAAATTTCAAGAAAATCCATCTATAGCCTTCAGAGTCATTGGTGGATGATAGATATGCATACAACACAAAGACATGGGTCTCAGTTTCTCAGGAGACGGGGCTGAAAGCAAAAACTCGTATGAAGGGGTTGAATGGCAGTGGCAGCAGCACTGTTGGAGTGCTGCACGAATTCTCTGTTTTTTTGCATAGGTGATGGCATGCCCTTTCACTCATGCTAGATGCAAGCTTATACAAATCAATACAGTAACTTGTTGTTATTAGCGATTTATAGATGCCTAATTTTCTGTAGCTAGTTATATCTGAAATTCTGGTGGTTGGTGGGGGCTTTTTGTTAGGTTTTAGGGTGGGTTTGTTTATTAAATAATCCTAGTTTTTTATGTCACTGCCTGTAGATCTGACAAAATGCTTATCTTTGTTACTCTAAGGAGAAAATAGAATTTTTTAGTTTCTTTAAATGAAAAATGATTGAGAGAAATTGTTTAACAGTATTTAAATAATAGGACATTAATAACTGATGAAGAGTGTGTAGGAAAGACATCCACTCAAAGACGTCCAAACATAAAATCACTATCTGGTTGTGTTACATGTAGAGAAGTTCTTTAGTAGGAAGTAGATTCTATGTTTTGTTGAAAAGCATGAAATAGATCAATTTGTTAGAGAAAAAGCACAGCTGTGCCTGTTTGTCACATGAAAAGTAATGGCGCTGCTTGTTGTGACAGAGGAGAATAATTTGAAAGTAAAGAGTTTAACTTTTAATTTAGGGTTCTGGTAATTTGAAATATGCCATCAAGACTACCTAATAAACCAGTAATTGCATTAAGAAACAACCCTGAAGGAAACTCAAAGCAGATAGATCTGGGTTTCTCTGGAATAACCTGCTAATATTCTACATTTTCACTTTGAACACAAATCTTCGTTGACCGTGTTCAGAACACAAGTTGAAATGGTACTGAACTATAGGCAAGTGGAAACAAAGTTAAAATGTCAGTAAAATAACTTCTTATATCAGAATTTTATTTTAATATATACTATGTGATCATGGGTTGAATGGTTTGCTTATGTTTCTGGACCATAGTGTTCTCTTATGAAATAAAAAAATCTACCCTTTAGGAAAAGTATTTCTTTTTCTCAAATGTTTGAAGCATTTGTGTGTGTTTGAGAAGTATTTCACACAGGGATTGTGAAATAGCAACCTGATACATAAAACATGTAACAGAAATGCTGCTGTGTGTCAGTGTGATAGTTGGGGTGGTTCTGCTTTAATAATCCAATATGTGATATTCAATTTTAGTGAACTTCCAAAGCAGTTTTCTCTTCAAAAAATAATTGGCTTTGGGTTAAGAATTGAATGAATTCACATTTAATTTTTATCATGTGGTGAAGAAAATTGAAACATTCTCTGCTTTCTGTTTTAATTTACTTATATTTGTGTATTATTTGTGCTAACTGCATTATTTAAAAATACCTTTAAATTTATTTTGAAAATGTTTTCGTCATCCTCTTGCCCCTATACAATACCTGTAGATTGAATTTTATTTTTTTTTTTGTCTGCCATTTTAAAAAATAAACTATTTCTGTTTAGTAAGACTTGAAAGTACATGCAGGAAGGCTGGGCCTCTTGTGAAGGAGGAGCTCTTATTCAGTTAATGTGGTTTAGCCCCTACTGGTGAGGCAAATAAGAGGAATGGAGCCAAGCTTAAGCAAATAAATTTTACTAAGCTCATGAAGTTGGTCTCCTTACTGTCAGTACCAGAAGGATGTAGGAAATGGCATACCGAACCAGGAAAGGAAGAGAAGCAAAGCAAGAATGGAGGCAGTTTCAGGGAGTCAAGTAGCAGAAAAAAGGACAGAAAACAGCAGCATATGCAATGAGAAATATACAGGTGATTGTATGTGAGACAGTTTCTAATTAAGATCTTCCTCTTTTTCATAAGCTTGTGGGTAATGTTTTGGTTTTTTTTTTTTTTTAACAAAACAAAAAAAACAACCTCAAGTGTGGAGGAAAGGGAGGAAAAGAGCAAACATTAGTGCAGCATTTCCTAATTTTCTGACGTTAGGATTGAGAATTTTGAACTTCCCTTGTTTTTCCCCTCCTGGTCTGGAAGAATAAGGAAGTAAAATGTTACTTTATGTTCACTGGTATTAATCTTAGCCAAGTGTTCTGTATGGGAATTTCCCGTAGTGTAAGTCTTGTGTGGGGGATGGTTAGGTAGTGGGGTGATGTGGTGTGTAGAAATTTGTTTGAACATGAAAGTTTTGTGCATCAGGTTTAGTGTGCAAAACAGCTTTCTCAAAGTCATCTGCCAAAGAGAAAATACCAGTCTCTGTTGTCAGTTACCTTTGTCAAACCAAAATAGTGGCTCTGGTCCTATAACAGCAACAAATTCACTGTGTGATGGTCCCAAAATCTTAACTGTAAAGCAGCAGTAGAAATGTCACACCTGAAATGACATCTAGCTGAGACATAAAATTACTGCAAGACACATTAAGACTGTGATCACATAAATATTTGTAAGATAATACGTCATTTCAAAAAGACCCATAAAACCTCCCCAGCTTTAAAGTGATGTCAAATGCAGTTTTACTTTTCACATGACCTTTCCTCTCAGGCACTCTTACAAGAAGAGTGTCTCTTCGCTCTGTGGAAGAAGCAAGTCACACCTCTTCCATTATGTGAATCTGGAATGACACTTACTTGGTGTACCCTGGAGATGAAACACCACAGAGCTCTTAGAGCCTTATATACATATATGTATAGCAATGGCTTACATCATTAGTTGGCTAGACAGTGTAAATTAAGGTTTCTAGTTCCAGTTCTAAGCTTTAGGAGATTTTTCCTCTAACATATATCTTTTATTCCAACAGAAAGAATAGCAAATCACTGAGGTTTGACTTTCTTTCCATAATATTTTGGATAGACAATATTTCAATTTCCCAGGCTAGAAAGCTTTATTTCTTTTCACAGCGTTGCTAGAAATGATCTTGTGCATCTTTCCAGTCTTATTACCTGTAAAGTTAAGTGAGGTATTGAACCAATGAGCCATCAAATACCCAAAGTTGTTAAGTCTCCTAAGGAGCTAAGTTAGAGGAATAAGGCAGTTCAGTAACTCGCTTGGTGGTTTTCTGATGACACTATCCCCAGCAATAGCCATATTAGACCTTTTGAGTTTTCACCCCAAAGTTCGAGCTGCAAATGAGTGGAATGCTTGAAATCAGGTGTCATTGTAAGTTGTCTCTTTCGGGGGTGCTAATCAGCTCTGCTACCATCTGCAGTAACATCATTTGTCCTGAAATGACACTGCAGTGTGTATACTTATATAACGTTGCTTACTTATTTTTCAGACACAGGATGAACCCACTGATACAAGACACAGCTAGCTAAACATCTATAAAATGCCCAAATTTGGGTCTACAAAAACAGTTCAAGTTGAAAATTCTGACAGTGATAGCACCATGGTGGAAAAATCAACTGCAAGAAAGGTAACAGAATTGTATCCGTGTCCATTTAATTTCAGTGAAATGAACATGTGGTTTATCACAGTTTTTGTTTCTGTAATGGGAAGAAATAAATTATCTGTTTTCTAATATCTTTAGTGCAGAAAAAATGTATAAGTTTTTATGTGGCTTTAACAGTAAATTGAACTAGGGAAGACAATTTATGCCTTTTATTGTAACTTGCAACTTAATTTCAAAAGGCAAGTGGATGTGTTGGGTTTAGTTGATTAAGTTTAATGCATAGTTTCCATATCTTAGATCGTATGAAGTCTTTATACACTCAAAAGAACAATGATTCATATTTTATTGGTTTTATAGTGTCTTAGTCTCTGTAACAAACACATGAAACATTTCTGAAGGCCTGTGACAGAGCATAGATTAATGAACAAACACAAGTTATATTCCTTTGTGACACAGGGACTTGTTCCCTCTGTTAGGAGGACTTAAAAGCCAAATACTGCAGAACGGTTAAGAGTGACTCCTGTACAAAGGAGGCCACTTTAAAAATTGTACAATCCATTTTTGCATGTTGGAGAATGAAGGAATATGGGAGCTTCAGTAATACTGGAGGGTAGTTTGTTTTTTATAAATATGAAGTATCCTATCATTTTCAAACTTCTGGAGTCAGGTTACAGATAACCTGGTTCTTCATTTTGTCTGCCTAGTACACTTGTACAATAGTGAGTTTATCTGTAGTACCAATGAATAACACAAAATAGAGTAATATTCTGCATTGTGCGTGATGAGTTGTATATTGCCCTAAGGAGAGAGAATCCATTTCTCTCCCCCCAAAAATGTTGGGTTTTCTTTTTTTTGTTCTGGTCATTGTTTGGGATATGGTCAATTGAAGTCTCATTCAGTGATGGGAAAGAGGGGGGAATGTCTGAGGCCTACAAGTATCGAGAATAGGAAGGCTATTGCAGTGAAATTCAGTGGTATTAAATACTGACTTTTTATTTATATGCTTGTAAATAAGTTACGTTTTTAAAATATTTTAGGTTATCTATTTAACAAAGAAGAACATTTCTGGCTTTATAAACTTTCATCGTCTTGACACTTCAGTATTTCTGGAAAAACAACTAACTTTTGACACAGGAAAATCTTGGAGACATAGTCAACAGTTACTCATGCTAGGAAAACTGATTTATGTCAATCTTTTTCAAGCTTTATTTGTGTTTACAATTTTTAAAAAATTTAAAAACTGTAACACAGGTGTCATGGTTTAAATGCATCTGGCTCGCAGTTAACACCACACGGCCACTTGCTCACCCTCTCTCCTCCCAGTGATGGGGGAGAGAATTAAGAGTCAGTACCATTGGCCAATTTTGGTCTCAACCTTAAACCTAAGGTCAAATCCTAAGGCAGTAATTGTGGGCTATTCTCTCTCCTAGCTTCTTGTGCACTTGCACACACTGGCACAGCAGGAGAAACTGAGAAGTCCTTGACTGTCCTGATAACAGCTATAAACATCACTATGCCATCAGCTGCCTTCTCAGCACAAATCCAAAACATGGCCTCACACTAGCTACTGTGAAGAAAGTTAACTCTGTCCTAGCCGAAACCAGGACAACAGGTTAAAATGAATGTTCACCTTTTGTTCACTTCCATCAAAGCAAAAATAGTGGATTTGCTGGAATGTGTCAATTTTTACGTTTTCCTTTTCCCTGTTTCTTTGCTAAAGTTATGGCTTGAAATGCTTGGAATGCATTTGTTTGTAAGTTTGAGCATATAGAGATAAATTATCATATTTTTACAGTGCAGATTACCTTCTTCCTTCCTAGGCTTTGATTTTTACATACAAATTGCTCTGCCATCTGAGTTAAGAAAAAAAAAATAATCAAAATACAGTTTACTCATGAGGCCCCTTTTTCTCCTCTACTCTCCACTGCTGACTCCACCTCACCCTTCTCTGTGTTGCTTGCTGCCATTGTAGAAAAACACTGCTAGTTCCCAGAGTGGTTGTTGAATCTGCAGCCCCTGCCAAAGGAACTGCCTTAGCAGTGATCCTTATGCCCAGTGCAGTATTTGCTGATTGCCTTAACACCTTCCTCCCCAGTAATCTCCTGCCTCTGATCACCATAAACTGTTCCCTCTCTGCTAATAACAATAGCAGTTACATCTGCTGAGCCATTTAACCCACATACACTGCAATCTCTGCAAAGTCAGGTAATCTGCTGAAACAGAGGTGTGTAGCTCTTTTGCCAAAACATTAAAGAAGATATGAATTAATATGAAGATATGAATAACTTTTTCCAGGGAACAGAAGAGTGATCATGGTGTCATTTATTTAACCACCAGGAGCTATGGCAAATTTTGATTTGATTTAGAAAGGAGTAAATTAACATTTTTAACGGTCACTTAAAACCCTTTCGTTGCCGCATTGGTTCATGTGAAGGTTTGTCCTTAGCTGGTTGCTTTATCAAGGAAATGTTTGTTGTTGAGACTGATGCCAGTACAAGAATTAGAAATACAAACAAATGTCAGATTCTCCCTTGCCTGATATTTGTGATTAAGATGCTGGTGAAAGCAGGATTACTTAGAAAATTAACGTCTAGGAGGAGGTGGAAGTTTGACCAAGGACATAGATATGGAGTCACAATGGTGGACTAATTGCATTGATACAGAAAAGTAAGCTGATAAACTGCTTGCACGGTTGTGTTCAGTCTTGCTTGCTATCCATCTTGGCACAATGTATCATGTGAGATTAGAATAATGTAGGGTTTGATTTGGGAATTATATGATATAAATTGATATTTAGGATCCCATGTTTGCAATATTATATAAAATTGCAGAATTATTTGTCACAGTTCATATTCCTGTATTCAGTTTTTTTAGCATAATAAATATAATTTGATTGCTTTTGTCATATTTTGAGAAAAATTAAATACATGGTTAGGATGTTAAATAGTCACTTAAACAGTCACATGATCTATTCTCTAGCATGAAGACAAGTAATGGTCAAAAGTGCTTAGCTGGCCCTTGAATAATCTGCAATCTTTCCCCCTATATTAGAAAAAATAGACAAAATATTGACAAAATGTAATAATTTGGATTCAGCCTAGAAAATTATTTAAAACTCAACAGGCAAGAGGGTAAGAGTAAAATTTGATTTTGAACAACAGAAAATCATGAAGGCAAATCTGTATTACATATACAAACATGAAGTCTGAAGTAAAAATTGACCAGGCCAAATCAACAGTAATAATTTAAAATTAAATATCTTTAGGAAGTGGTGGAAATTTCTGTAAAGCAAATAAGGATTTTTCTCAATATGTAAATATTTGCAACCACGAATTAAAAAACAATAGTCTTTGAAGCATTAGAACTTCTGATGAAAAAGATATGGATTCATTAACCTAATATAATTGTGTCAGGAAGTACTGATACTGCAGGTGAAAGGGATACAAAAGTAAAAGTTTTGCTTTAGTGGCATTTTGATATGGAAGTGTCTTGACTGATCTGGAAAATACATCTTGTCTGCACACTTTTCTCAGATTAGTGCAACCAATGAGTGACCATTCATTGTGCCATCAGAGGTGCCTGTGTCTTTTAGTAGCATGAAAAGACCTGACGTGTTCAACATTCAGATAATTGCAGTGGTCCTTAGTACAAAAAATGCATTGTAACTATTTTTAATGTAGCTTTGGCTTTTTATTTTTTCTGTAGAATAGTACAGTCAAACCACTTCTGCACTTTGCTACGTGAACTTACTCTTACTTCTGTGTCCACTTTGTCATTGAAGTAGAAATATCTTTGAACTACTTGTGGAGCTTAATCTCTATGACTGTACATGAGCAGAAGATAGCTAGTTTAATTATTGGTGTTCCTGTATATTTTCATAGATGCATTGTAGGCAGAGGCGGCCTAATGTCCAATAATGTTCATACAAAACAGTGCATCTTACAGGTGAACAGTAACTTTAAAGGACACCACTCCCCCAAAAAAAAAATGCTCCTTCTTCTCAAAATAAAAACTATAATGGTCTAATACATGGTGTAAGACTACTCCCATGGCTAATATACTAAGATAAAAAAAAACCAAAACACTTGCAGGATTTGGTTTTCCTTTCATAGTTGACGCCATGTTTAGCTCTTACTGGTTGTGTACTCTTAGCTGTTGACTGAGGAATGTAATAAAGTTACTGTTGTGAGAATCTTTCATATTTGTCCATCAGAAGTTAATGCTTATGCTGTTCTAGCAACCAGTAAATAGCTATGTGAATCAGCTATGTGCTTAGGTCTTCTGAGACCTTAAAAAAAAATTACTAGGAGTAACATTCCTGTTAATAAGCTGAGTTTATATCATACGTGCTTTGGGGTATGTGTATTTTTATTTCAGTTGCTCATCTTGGGAGCATAAGATAAGTAAAAAAAATTGCAAGAGTGTGTACAGCAAATAGACCATTTACTGTTTGCATGAGATATTTTATAAACATAAGAACATAATGAAATTTAAATTTATCTGAATTTATACATTAGCACTTACATGGCCAAAACTCAGGAAATAAATGATAGATAGGTGGTCCAAAGGAGAAACACATTCAGGGTTTGTAAGAATTGACTCTCTTAGAATAGTCCAACAATAGTACCCAAGGCCATTTTAATACCATGCAGAACACGCTTCAGTATGTAATTATCTTTGATAGGCAGAAAAAGAACGCTTATTCTCCCAGGGTTTAGTACATCTGCTAGATTATATGGCACTCTGTTGTCTCCTTTTGTGTATTGTCATTGATCTTGGTGGTACCAGAAAAATAGAGCTGGAATGGGATATCAAGAGATTGTCCAGACTGCTGTTTGTTAGCCTTCTGAAACGGTTTCTGTTGAACAGATTAAAAATGTGTTCCTCATCATAGCACACTAGTATGGTTTTCTTGACGGAGAAAATTTTTCCTTGTTACTACATCCTCCGGTGAGGCATGCATTAAGTGTTGAGACATGCAGATGCAGTTCATCCATTTGCCCCAGAGTAGAATAAGCTGTACTCGGTTCTTGACAGATGTTTGCCAGACCTTTTCTTTAAAGCTGTGCCTGATGGAAATTCCAGTCTCCTTGGGCAGTTTATTCTGATACTTAATTATGCTGACTGGCATAGAGTTAGATACTTAGTAGAAGGATAAATAACCATTGTTTGTCTCCTGTTGCAGTCTGAAGCCATTAAATGTTCTCTAACTGTAGTGGACATGGAGAGCGTGTAATGCCTTTCTCTTTGCAGCAATAGTTTATGTATCCAAACATTGCATCTTGAGTGTTTTATTTGATAACAATTTTCACTTTAGATTAATGAACCTCTTTAGAAAGTCCACAGATGTTCTAAGTTACAGGTTGCTTTATAAAAGATGTCCACGTTGGTTTAGATTGCTTCCACGGATCACATTAAACTAATACATAGACTTACTCATGCTGAATTTTGAACCTTGCTTTGGACCCTGAAAAGGAGATGTCACTGTTGCAGTGACCAGGAGTAGTTGGAACAGTGAATGCTCACTCTTTAAATCAAAATGCCTGTTGTAACCTGCAGGGCTTCTTACCTCCTCTTGCCTTCCTTTACTTGAAGTTGAATCCAGGAGGCTGTTAAGAGTTTTCTGGCTTTTAGTGTGGGGTCTTGTGACTGTACAGTTAATTATTTATAGCAGTTTGTAGAACCTTGGTTTTATCCTGGCTTTTCCAGTTTTCTTTTGTATATAAACTGTTTTTCAAATTCACTAGTCATTTTACTTTCCCTTTGCCGGTGCTCTTTGCTTCTCCCTCTCTCCCAGCTCTGATGGTGTCTCTATATCGCATCTCTATTTCAGCATCATCACTGAAAATACTAAATATCATTGACTTTGTCCAGACTTCTCAAACACCCTGTTCTTTGCATCTTTGGGTTGGAATGTCTGCCACTGGTGGTGGTGAAATGTTTATTTCCACAGTAGCTAAGGAACAAAACACTATTTTTTTCAGTTTCTGTGTATAACCTGTTCTTTCATTTTCAATGTATCTTTATGTATCTGAAAGTATGCATTTTGATTTCTCTCCTCCAAATTAGATTCAACACAAAATTAATATTCAGTGATTATAAAAAAGTAGTGCATCAGTCATAATATTTAACATAATGCATATATACAATTTAAGAATAAGAATAAACATAAAGCTATCAAATTATTTAATCAGCTTGTGTCTCTATGTGAGCACCTACTGATGTATTTTACTGATTAGTATCAAAAAAGGTGATTCTTTTTAAGGATTAGCAACTACAGAAAATTGCCATTTTTTCTACAGAACAAGTTTAAACCAATGTTTCCTGCTTAGGACCTGAAAATTATTTTTAATTTATCCTTTCTATTGCATAGTATCTAACATAAGATAATATTCTAGAGAAAGGAATAAATTTTTAATACCACTTTATGTTATCATGGGAAGTTTACATACATATATAGGAGAAATAGTTGGATTGTTAGGAGCAAGGAGCAAGGGATGAGAGAGCTCTTAGTGAAATGGGAAACTTGTATGTGGAGTGGAAGAGATCAGAATGGGCTTGATGGAGTTTGGATTTTTGTAATCGCTTCTGCCTACCCTTTTGGCAACAGCTTAAACTCAGTGTCAGATGATATAATCAAACTACTCTCTTACCTGTGTTAGCTTTTCAAAAAAGGAAAGATGCCCTTGAGACTAGTACCTTTACTTGGAGTTGTTTTCTAGTTTTCCTCTAATCAGAATAGATATTCTTACTTCAAAAGTACCAACGTGCCTCTTCTACCTTTAGAAAATCAATCTATTAGTGGGTTTCATCCAATCATCTGTTAAGAATGATATAAAGCTGGAGTTGTGATAGCTGATGTAGCTGGATGATATGTTTCTGCAGCATGAAATGAACAGAAAATATTGTGTCTACATTGCATCTTGATTGAAAGGCCAAAATGGTGGGGTTTGCAGAGGGTTCTCTCAAGCAGTCTTCTCACTAACCTGCTACCTTGTACATCCTTTGACCTCCTATGTTATCAAAGTAATCAAACATAAGTTAATATTATGCCCATCCAGGTTTTTCTGTGTTTATCTTGAAATATGTTTTATAAACCAAACATCCCAGATTTATGCAACTAAAAATTCCAAATAGCTTGTACATATTTTTTCTAAATTTGATGCCAGTTCAAAACGTTTCTTCATAGATTTTCTAACTTCTTACTAAATTTTGCTTTATAAAATGAAACTACACTATTATTCTTGTTGAAAGAGAAAGGGAGTTCTGTACGGATGGATTACAGCATGGGGGTGGAGGCAGGGGAGGGTTATTAGAGTTTTTTTGTTGTTGTTGTTACTGTGTTACTGTTCCCAGTCTGAGTTGCAGTGTGGGCTTTTAATGTGCTTTTAATTTAATTATTATGTTATGGTCAGGGAAGGAAATTGGGATGGTAGTAAGACTTGACCTATTCTTGTCCAGTTTGTGTTGTTTCTTTGCTTATTGATCAAGGCTCTAATAGTGAACAGCAGTTCTGCAGTGATGTATCTGGAAGTAGATGTACCACAAAAGATACTAATTTAAAAAGAAATAAACACCACTGATTATTTTTAGTAAGGTTACTTCAGAAGTTTTGAATAAACTATGTAATACACATACTTACACATATGCACATACATTCTCGCATAGCAGTCTTTTCAGTCTGTATACATTATAAGACTATTCTGCTTTATGCAAAAATTACTTAGTATACTTTCTATTTATATTAGAGCAAGGACAAGATTGCATCCTACAACAAAACTCCAAAAGTGGATAGGAGTGATGTGGGGAAGGAGATGAAAGAAAAGTCTTCCATGAAACGTAAACTTCCTTTTACTGTTAGCCCATCCAGAAATGAAGATCGCAATTCAGACACAGGTAGAACTTTTTTATTTCCTTAACTAAATATTTGCTGGTAAAATACATCCTAATTTAATTAATTGTATATTATGTTTTTATATTTATTATTTTTTCCTTATAAAAAAGGATACTAAGTATAAAGGTTGCTTGCTTGCTTGCTTGTGATTGTTGCATCTCAGGCTGATAGGCTTTCATCCTTTCATTAGCAAGAGCTAGCATGCCAGCATAGTTTATCTACATTTTTCAGTTGTTTCCTAACCTCATTCTTTTGCATCTATTTTAGTAATCTTTCTTTTCATTGTCATCTCTAGAAGTTCATTTGTTTAAACAAGCTGATAAAAAGACATGTAAGTGCCTTGATTTGAAACACAGCTCTCAGACTTTCATAACCTTTTTTGGGGAGGGAGAGTGGGAAAGATTGGTCAATGTACTGTCCTCCATATAAAATAAAAGTTTGCTAAGGTTATTGAACTAACTAAATTAGCCATGGAGAGCAAACCTTTCTTTCAGTCTAAGCTCCTGTGATCTGTTCAGGATACCTTTTCTGCACAGGCTGGTAGTTCTTCCTAACTTAAGCATATTCTATTAGAACTGACTTCAATACTTCAATATACCATTCTTAACATGGTTCTTTTCAAATCAAGATGGAGGGATCTGTATGTATTCTGAGAGTACAGTTATCTCTGAGTCTAGGTAATTAGTTTTCTATGTCATAGTTCAGTAATAGTTCTGTTGGTAACAAAACAGTATCTGTGTCCTGGAAGGCCACCAGACATGTTCTCCAAATTCCTTACAGGTTCAGTACTTCAGTTCTTATGCAGTGCTCATTGTACATCTGGATATTTTCATAAACAGGTAGTTCCCTTAATATGCTTAGATTTAAATATAAGATAGAAGTATATACCTGAGTACATGTTTAATTTTTGCCCAGGATTTGGCTCCTGGATATTACATACATATTTTCATTACTGTAAAGAGAATATGGTGTGAAATCCGAATCTGAAATAGTCACATTACGAAACAATGCTCTTGGCTTTAGATCTTTGGTTTCCAGTGGTTTTACAGAATTCTAGAGTCTTACACTATTCATGATACCACTTGATTCTGAAAAGACCATGTATAAATTAGAAATATGCTCCCGACATCTGCTTTATTAAATTTGTTGCTTGTTATTAGACCCTAACTATTTTTCATAATGTAAATAAGTATATTTAGAAATAATATTTAGTACTTCTGTGATGTTTTCTGTGTTTAAACTCTTTTGTAATCTCTCCCCACCCCCATCAACTTTAAATAATTAATTGTCACAGTGTCTTGTGAGGTAACATAATTTTTTTGTTTCTCTTGCTATAGCATCTGTTGTCACAGTTGCCACAAACAAGATTGATTACTCTAGGCACTTAGACATGCACAAAAGGACAATGCACACACTACAAAATATTTTTGTTACAAGTTGTAGCAAGGAGAGGAAATGAACAGTTCAAGCAGGGACAGAAAATACTTAATATAACAATAGAAGGCACATAGCTTGTAACTACTGTGTAGCAAACATCATGGCTTGTTGTCCATTTCATAACTGCCGAGTTAAGAGAAACTACCCTCTTTTGCAGATGTGGAACTTGGTACATAAGCTTTCCAGAAACTTTAGAGGCAGGAGCATTACTAGGATGAAAAAATGGTTCTTGTAATGCTGATTCTGTACCTAACCAATTATATTAGACCAGGGGGAATTAACTACTTACGTTGGTGCTGGGTTTGTCACTGACATGGGTTAGGATTGACATCAGTGATGATGAAATACAGTCCTGCTTCTGACACAAACTTGACATTATACGTTGAAGAAGTTTGCCATCCCTGGACTAAACTGTCACCTCTGACAGAAGTGTCTCCCTGCTAGCTGTGTACAGAAAATGGCAAATGTTTATTGAGGAGGAGGAAAGTAAGTTTTTGGAGATGAGAGTGTAACCAGAGACAGAGGGGAAAAAGAAGAGGTGATGAAAAGCTTCTTGTCAGCTAGTAGTGCTAGTGTTTAAAAAACAAAACCAAAACCAACTTGCTTTTCTTTTGCTACTTTGTGAAAATCTATAGTGATATTAAAGGGAAATGGTCAAAGGTTGTGTATACAATTAATAATTTAATCGATTCAGAAAAAATACATGGTACTACTCCATTCTTCCCACTGTCCATTACAGTTCCAGGATGTATTTTATCTTTTCCCAATAGCTTTATTTTTAATAGCCTTCCAATATGTTTTTTTCAGAGTTCAGAACAGCAAAATGTTCTTACTGCTTTGCTAAGTAGTTTCTCTGTAACAGATAAGACCATTGAACTTTATTTTTAAATGTTTTTAAAGATTTAGGGTCTTCTGAAAATGTGTCTGAGTGGGAAAAAAAAAATCAAGTAATGCCATAAAAAGTAGCTCTAGGATAAAAAGAAGTAATTTATTTAATAGGTTAATAAATGGTTTATCTCCAAAATACGTGGTAGGGTTGCTAGCTGATTGTGGAAGCCCCATGATAATTAAGTTTCATCCTGTTTAGGCAGGTAAATCAGTCAAAGAATGGGAATACCTAATTTTTAGAGCTTTACGTCATTAGAGCTGTCTTGATTCAATCTCCAGAGTATTAATTAATAAATTAAGATTTTGTCTTTATTTTATTTTGGTAAAAACTACCCCTGCAATTCCACCTCTTGCTCCTTTTTGTGGTGGAGTTTTTTTGGTTCAGATACTGTCTACAAACGACAAGTGATAATGAACATGGACAGCCAAACTGTATGTTAACTTAATTTGGAAATAGTTTTTTAAATTAGGTTTCTTCAAAACTATTAAGTGAAGTAAATTTTACACCCAATCAGTCTTGGCAAGACTGAAATCAAACAGCATTTGTGGTGTCCTGTAAGAGTCTAGAAACAATTCCAGTCCTCCTGTTTATCTAAATTTAGATTTAAATAAGTGGTTGTGCCCAAGAAACTACTGCAATAAATTAGTATTAAGTATTTTAAGATTTAGCCTTAGGTTGCTTTCTTAATAATTTCATCCCAGTTAGGACCAAGTCCAGTTGCTTAAATGTAGTCACACAATGCCAGTCAAGATGCCGGCAGTAGCTGAGAAGTCTGCACAAGGCTGAAAGCGAATGAGAGTCACAGGAGACCTGCGGCCTTCTGAAGAGGCCAGTGGGACAATGGCAGCACCTGAAATGGCACTACAGACTTGTCTCTAAGCAAATGCATCCTATTCCCAGTTTCTTTTGATGTGCAGGGGTGTGTCTGTTACACTGTCCTGGTTTGGATGGCTGTCCTAAACTGAGGGCTCTGTTGTCACATCCCCATTCTTTGATCAGAACAATCACAAAAAGTTAATGTGATATGTACATACTGCAGTCCAGTTTATTTATACTGCAAATTTGGCAGTATAGCTTTAACTCTTATTTAAGTTAACATTATGAAGGGTTCTACATGCAAGCTTTGATTAAGACTGGTAGAAGGGATGGTAGAAGGAGAAGCATTTTTCATACCTTTTTTTAATAAGTTCCAAGAATAGAAGTCTTCAAATCCAAAAGCATATTTTGATTGAAAAAAACAATCACTTATTTAGACTACTTAAATAGCATTATTTAAATTTTGTTAATTTTTTATTTGATCTGGTTATTTTTAAATAACCTTTGGTGTGATTATCAGAATAAGAACAACAGACAAGTGCTGCTTTTGCAAAGGACAAGTTTGTTTGCTTTCTCTACCGTATTAGTCTGAAAAGAGAGAATTTAGTTTTTCGTAATAATTAAACATAACTGCAGATCAGAAAAATCTTTTCATTGTGGAGATAAGCATAGGATTTTGGGTATTTTTTTGTAGTCTTGTTACATACTTGATTCAGGAGGAACAACAAGAGTTACAATTACACTGAATGTGCTAGTTTGATCTTTCCTTGGAAATTGCGTTCTCCAGATTTTCTGTTTATAGTAGCATCTTGGTTTTGTTTTCTGACCCCTTCAATTTCTGTCTTTAAAGTAGTACAAACTGGCACACTTATATTTCTTTTAACATATAATTAACATCCAAAAAAGCAAAACAACTGAGCTGTTTATGTTCCATGTGTACCTCAGTAACACAATTTCTGTACTTGTGCTTCCCGTAGTTACACAAGTTGGTGGGGCTGTTAAAGGGTCTGTTAGCAAGCTGTGTTGCTGCTTGCTGGATTTGGACTTACTGTTCAACTATTCCAAGTTTCTTGAACTATTGTTTGGACTAGAGGCAGGAAAGTGGAGGTGGTTTTGTGTGTATGTGTGTATTGGTTTGGTTAAATAAATACGTCATAAATTGGATTAATTAGATATCACAATAGTACCTTGAGATCTCTACAGTGTACAATATACTGTGAGGTCTCTTTAGCACATTCTAATCTTTCTCTTTCACTGAAGATAGGAAGCAGCAATCATAATGTGTATCTTTTAGATAGTTAGATTACCACAGTCACATAGGTCTCAGTAACTGTCTCTCAACTTCATCTGTAGGATTTATCATCTTGTCTTCTACAGTTGTTATTAATAAGCATATTTGTCTTTTGTTGTACATCACTCAATCTTATAACCTCCTTAGAAACATTTGTTTCAAGCCGTTCATATTTTAGCATCTCATGGTCCTAGTTATTAATCCTGTTTTTCCTCACAGTTTGCACTATGATAGGAGTTTTACATGAAACCAGACTCTCATGAGCCCTGAAGTTTGAATTTGGATAAAGGAAATAAAGCAAAAAGACCACTAATGTGGTTATTTTTACAAATGGAATATTCTGTTAGTTTGGCATGATTTGTTTTGAGAAATCCATGTTATATTATTTAATATTTTTTTTTCCAGAAGCATTTAGAAATTACTTGACTGGGAATTTGTAATTTTTACAAATTTCAAAAAATAACCCAACAGATATATTATTGGTTGCCTTGGGGCACAATCTGTCATGTATAAGTTCTAAAATAATCACTAGTGATTCTGCTGTTTCTCGTGCCAATACGTTTAGGTACTATGAGGGAATTTCATGAAGCTCTTCTACAAATAAGTGCTCAAATGCACCTAAATCACTATTTCACATAACTTGGCTATTTTAAAATCCTTTTCAAAAAGTGTTAGGTGAAAAGCATACATTGTAAAAGGAAAAATCTTAAAAGGAATGTTGTCCAGATAGATGTGGCTGCATATTATGAAGGTTATTTAATGAAGATAGTTGAACGTGAAATCATTTGAAGAGGTGTGGGGTTTTTTTTGAGTAACCAGTAAGAAATTCCCTGTTGTTCTGTTTCTAACTGCTGAAGAACACCAGAAAGTGACAAGAACGTGAATGTAAAAGAAGATATTTGTGTTCCATACACTTGGAAAACAAGGTGTTCAAAATCTAAAAAAACCAAAAACCAAACACAACACAAAAACAAACTAGTTGACTTTAACAGTCAATTTCATACATGAAATTCTACCTAAACTTAATTTCTTAAACTGATACTATTTATCTGTTAGGGAAGTTATTACTGTTCAGGTTACGTAAATATTAAGTACAAAGCTGTGAAAAGTTTTTCGTTACCACAAGATAAAGAATATGTACAAAGTTAAAATTCCTGAATGTTAAGTTGGTCTTCTCCTGCTAAATATAGTGTACTGTGTGATTATATTCTTGGAGCAGTGAAAACAAATCTTGCAATATATTCTGCATTAAGCATAATGTGTGTTCCTCATAATTTATAAAATTTTTCTGTGGATTTGTGTAGCTTCTTAATCAGCAGTTGCATAGTTGTGTTCCTTAGATCTAAAAAAAAAAAAAAAAAAAAATTAGTTTTTGACTACCTAAATTTGTGTGTGTCTATAAAAATTTCTCTTTTATATGCACTACTCCTTTCCTTTTGCTTCCTTCCACCCCTCTTGTCCTATGTTGTTTAATCTTGTACATTCAGAACCAGGCCATATGCCTGAGATCTTTGGGGGGAAAAGCAATAGCTTCTTACAGGATGTACTCCAGTAGATGGATTATCAGGTGCACCTGCTGTAGTCCTGAGACTGATTTTATTTTTTTTTAGTTTTGTTGATCATATTAAATTTGTGTATTGAACTGCTTAGATTTACTGAAAACATGTATAAAGTCTGACATAAATTTTAATAAAATGGTGGGGTTTTTTGAGTTGTAAGGGCATAATTACCGTATAACTCAATGAGAGCAATTGTATTCTTACTTGGTACTTTTAATTGGTGAGCTCTAGAAATGCTTTGCAAACACTGTATTAATAAAGACTAATAGAAGAATGCCCCGTGACTGATGCATTGGAATACGTATGGGATGATCTTCATATTGTTTGAGACCACTTAACATGAGACATGAATACATTGCACTCATTTACTTAGTAGGCTTTTCTCACAAAATTATTAAAGAAAAAACCAAACCAAAAAACAAATAAAAAGACCTGGAAAAGTACACTGTATAGTAAAAAAGTAACAGCTAGATCATCAAAGATTTATTTCACTATTATTTTGATGTATTATTTTCTCCAATGGAATATATCTATAAAATTGTAGGGAATAATTCAGAATGAAAATTAATGTGTTTTTCTATTTAAAAAAAAAATCATGAGCAGTGAATACCATTAGCTAAGAAACATCAAATCATGCCAGACAAACTGAAATGTGTTGTTTCTATGGAAGTACTAAGTTAGTTGATGAAAGGTGTGCTGTACATTATCCTTGGAGAGAGAACAGCATATTCACAGTGAAAAGCTGAAAGTACAATTTCATTGTAGGTTTTCTTTAAATTTTCCTAAATAGATGCTATCAGTAGGCCAGTAGTGATTTGCATATTGAATGTATTTTTAGGCATTCAGGAGTATGAGATACATGCAGTTTAGAAAAATCTCATCAATTACTTCTGTGAAAGGGAACTTGTTTCCTTTTTAAACATGATGGGTAAACCTGTAAGGTTTTCTTAATATGTACATAGGTCTGAAGCTTTCCATTCTTAATATAGCCTTGCTCATAATTGTTTAGTCTGTAAAATAATGTATTTCTTATCTGGTCACTATGGAAGTCAGGATGTGCACTATTTACATTCCCTCCTCTGCTTCAATAGCATTGCATTACTAGAGCCTGTGTGTGTAATCAAGCCTAGAAGATGAGATTTAGAAAAGGCTAGGAAGGCAGAAAATGAGTTGAGAGGAAATGAATGAAACAAGGAGGGCCACAGAGAAGATCTAAAGCAGACGTGGAGAAAATTAAAACATAAAAAAGGGTCTGTGGCTTAAAGAGTTTGGGGTTTGCAGCGTAATAAAACACGGAAGAGTACGTGGTTAGGAACCTCAAAGGAACTTAATCTTCTAATCTGTAATTTTTATTAATTTTTGGCTCTCTGCAGAAGGTTAGTGAAGTTTGCCTCAGTGGAATCTTCTGTTTTAAGATCTTCTGCTTTTGCAGTTTTTGTTTTGGTTGTGTTGGTTTGGTTTGGTTTTCTTAATTAAGTTTTTATACAGGTGTTTAAGGGTGAGATTTAGGAAAGGAAACTGGGAGACCAGTATAATCATAGGGACAGTAATAAAAATAAAGTCCCCCAACCTTGACTGTAGCTTAATTGCTTTTCCACAATTTTTTTTTAATATGGCCCAAAATACTAAGATTAACTAAAACTGGATGAACAGTGCCTCATCAGATGATAATCAGCCACAGTAAAAATAAGATTAAATAACTTATTATACAAAGAGCTACAAAGATCAGTGTGGCAAGAAGGTTTATTTAACTGATAGCAACAATCCCCAACCAAGCCTCAACCAATTTTCAGCCAAATTCTAGCATACTAGTATGGCCAAGTCTGATTAATCAGTCCAACATCTTTCCCCCCTGCCTTCCTTTCATTTGTTAAATATTCCCAATTTAAATTTTTAGATCTCCACTTTGTTTCATGTTCTTGCTGGCTTTATGGGGATTAGCACAGCAGCTAGCCATGGAGGAGAAGGCAGGCAATAGACATCCTTACTGAATTCTGTCCCTATCTTTGTGGTCAGTAGTCCAGCCTGGAGGGTGAGCTTCTAAAAGGAGAGGATGCAGTACAGTGAGCAGGTTCTCTGGAAAAGCTAATAGTGAACCTGAGCTTTTAAGGAGAGAACCAAGGGAATTATTTGCTCAGAGTTTGGAGATGTCATTTCTGTTAGTTGAATCTGTTAGAGTACTCTTCAGACCATTCCTTCTTGACACTGGCAGTTAGAAATTTTTTTTAACTCTTTCAAAAATTTTAATTCCAAGTCACCAAATATGTGGTTACGGTTCCTTAAGACGTCTTTTACATCTGGTATGCTTATATTCAAGTAGTAATCTTAGGGGCTCTAAAGAAAAAGATAGACATTATAGATCTAACATATAAGTAATATAAGCTGCTTACAAAATGTAAAATGTTGACTGTGATAAGAACTTTTTAAGACAGAGGAAGAACAGTTGCCTGGAAAGACGAGGTAATTAGAGAAAATGCATGGTCTTCACTACACATAAGATAAAATGTTGACTATGATAAGAACTTTTTAAGGCAGAGGAAGAACAGTTGCCTGGAAAGATGAGGTAATTACAGAAAATGCATGGTCTTCACTACACATAAGTACAAACTAATATGTCTCAAGAAAATACAGTGAAACAATAATGTCCAGGTAGGGAAGTCTGTGGAAAATACTTGTACAAAAAGAAATTTGATACATTGAGAGTTTGTACTTGATTGGTATTAAGATTGTTAAATACTGCTCCAGTTAAAAGTGATTTAGTCAAAGTCACTTAATCACAAATCAGTTGTTTTCTATCATACTTTAATCTAAATGCCTGTGTTTGGTTTAGGAGCACTTTATACAGAAAAATGAAGGAAGAACTTTTGAAAAGGATGGAAGACATAGACCAAGATTTCCAAATTATACAAATAAAATTCTAGTTTTGAAATTTATTAGGTATGAAAAGGTGGGCACATTTAACCAATCTGAAGATCTGTGAGAGTTTGTAGTTACTGAATAGCTTTAGAAATTATCTGTTTATTCAGATGTGTAATTTTAGCTCCTGGTTTAAAATTTGGACATGAAATATTAAACAACTTCTGTAAATATTCATAAGAGGAAAGAAGTTATGTATATAAAATAGCTGTATGTTTTTGAAGGATAAGAATTTTGGATAAGTAATTGCTCTAAGGTGAAGTAGTAACAGGATGAGTTTGAGAGAAACAATCTTTTATCCAATTACCTAGTAAATACCAGCATTAAAAAGTCTTTTCCTAATTTTTAACATGGTGACTTAAGTAGAATAGAGCATAGTCTCGGATCTGTATTCAAAGCTGAAAGTTGACTAGCTGATCTTACAGAATTTTTTTAAACGCCTGACTTGAAAAATTGAAGTTGTGACACATTCAGTCTTCCTGCTGTGAAACAGGTTTTTCATCTTTTAGAATTTTTTAGTAATCCTCCTTTCAGGTTTAAGTGCTTTATTATCTTGATATTATTAGAAGAGGTAACCAAAACTAATGCAAATGCAGAAAATTAGAGATGCAATTTCTGTTTTTCATCACCTGCCACCAATCACCAGTTCACATATCTTAAAAGGACGTTTTTATTTCTAGAAAAATGTTCCAAACAGAACAGCAGTTTGAGTTTTTAAATGTTAATATTTCCAGAGAAGGAAGGACCGGAGAAGAAGAAAGTGAAGAAGGATGCTGGAAATAAGAAATCAACACCAGTTAGCATTCTTTTTGGTTATCCTCTGTCAGAGCGTAAACAGATGGCACTTCTCATGCAGATGACTGCAAGGGACAACAGTCCAGGTGATCTTACACAGCTAAGAGTTTTCTTCCTCCTGCCTGTTTAATTCTGTCCAAGTCAGAACATTCTGAACCCTGCTGGTTTTCAACAATTCTTGCTTTTTATTGACATTTTTTAAAAGTTATTCATAATTCTGGTAAAACTTTATTGTGTGTTGACAAGTAATTTGATGAAAAAATCTTGACCTTCTGTATTTATGTGCAAAGCTTTGCATTATGGTCTCTGTAAAACCTGAAAATCTCTTTTCTTCCTTTGGTTATTTTTGTCTCTCAAACACTCTTCCATATGTATTAATTAAAAACTGAATTACTATCTGTTTTTTATGAAGTTTAACTACTGTCTCATTGTCTCCATTTAATTTCGAAGGAAACAGGGGAGAGAGGGGAGACACCTTGTTTTTAATTCAAAACTTCAGACTTTCCTTGATCCAATTGCATTTAAAAAAAAGTTAATGTATGTATATGTCCTATCCATGTAACATTTTTACAAATTTATAATTTAAAAGTGAATGGTTTATTCCTAAAGAATTTGGTGCCAGTTACCTAATCTTTTACTAAGCTGCTATGTTTAAAACAAAATCTATGTAGAGAAAGGCAAGATAATTTCATGGCAAGAGGAGGAGGTATCTTTAAAAAGTTCCTCAGATTTTGGAATACTTTGTGGGGAAAAAAAAATATATTCTTTAGTCTCTCATGCTGGGGAAGTCTACCCCATATATGAAGACCTTTGAGTCCCTGGCCCATGGATACATTCTCAGTTGCTTGAGAGATTAAATTCAAGGAATCATGAAGATGGAAACTGTAAGGCTGATATACTCTAGCTCCCTGTTATGAATTATAAAAGTTACAGAAGAATTTGGGACCTCCAGGCTCTCTGTTTTCCATAAAAACACTAAAAACATTGCCTGAAGTATTGCATACTTTTATTTAAATTGTTACTGAAACAGAACCAGGCTGCTTTGGTTAGGGATTTCAGTTTTAATTAATAGGCACTCTTCAATAGAATTATGTTTGAAGGGAAATATTTTAGCTCGAATTCTGTTATTTCAGTGTATATTTATATTCATAAAGCACTTTTTTTGGTCAAAAGCATATATTCTATCAAATATATATTAATAGCTTTAATTGCAGAAGATAATATTTTAACTGACTCCCTGTAACCAAAGACTACCAGAAAAATACAATACAGTCTGCCTTACTGCAGTTTCTCCTTTTGTATAAATCTGGTTTTGTGGCTTTTCTTATTTTTGAGAAGATGTTCAGAAACTTTCATAGTAGTTGTTTACTGTCCAGTCCACCCAAAAACATCTGCGGCAGCACAACTGAGAAAGTGCAGGGAGTACAATGCACAAACAATAATTCCTTAAACTGGCATCCCACATAAAATACAGTGGAAATGTGCTGGAGGAAGGGGAAGCAGAGTAGATACTGATGTGCATGGTGACGCATGTCCTGTTTCAGGCAGAATTTATACTTGTGTACATGAACCTTGTTTTTTGGATAGGCTTCACCTGTGCTTGAAACGTACTTTAAAAATAGTGAGACTTTGCAAAACACCATTTTGCACATTGCAAGTGGGCATTGTGTTGATACATGTCTAGTGTCAAGTACATCCTTTATTTAAATATAATCATTCACTGATAATTGTAGTCTTTGAGTACAATTGTTAAAATGAGATGAAGTAAAAATAGTGTTAAATAACTTAGTGACCGTTTATAAAAACTATTTTGTAGATTCCACAGTAAATCATTCGTTACAAACAACGCCAGCACAAAAGAAAACTCCGAGCTCCTCTTCCAGACAAAAGGACAAAGTTAACAAGAGAAATGAACGAGGGGAAACTCCTCTACATATGGCAGCAATTCGAGGGGATGTTAAACAGGTTAAGGAGCTAATCAGTTTAGGTGCAAATGTGAATGTAAAAGATTTTGCAGGTAAGTTGATACATGTTCTCTTAACTGTATGAATTAAATATTTCCGCTGAAGTTGTTGTCAGGGGTTTAATTTTAGTTCATGCTATATGCAGATGAAGAATACCACAAAATTGATTTGAAATTTTCAAATTGTCTTTCTGATGGCAATGGTAGTACTGGGACACTGTAGTACATAGTATATTATTAGTATTGGGTAGACATTTAAGGCATAGAAGGAGTCTGGGGTAACGAGGAGGGGTGGAACAGTGAAAGGAAGGCTGAATCAGAGGGAAAAGGGTTGGTGCAGAGGTTGTTATGTGGCTGGGGTCTAAGAGACATCTATAGAAAGACAGGATTCAATGGATGTTTCCCTCTTAAATGCAAGGACAACTCTCAAAAATAATACAAGTATCAAGTGCACATTATATAACCAGCATACCAAACTGCTCCTAATACACTGCCTCTCAACGTTAGCCATTAAACACAGGCTTTTTTGCATCCACAGTAGGAGTGGATCATGGGAAAGTGAGGAAATAAATATAAAAAAGAGCCGTGTTGCTTTTGGTTATGTTCAAGAAGACTGCATGCCCAATGCAAAAAGTAATGCTGAAGAAAAGGTGACAAAATTTGTGGGGAGCTGCTGGCATTCCAAGGAAATAAAGAGAATATTGAGAATGCTTGTTGGTATAACTAACTGGCAGCAATAGCAGTTTCAAGTTTTTAGAGTCATTGCATAATAGAAGCAAAAACATAATGAAGATCTGAATGAGAGTTTTGATTAGACCTACAGTGAAGCCTGCTCAAGATGCTCAGTTTATGGGTCTGAATGGTTGTAAGGAGAATTACACTCTCAATGGTGAAATGAGCTGCAGTAGCAGGCCCCAGTGAGAAAAATTAAGAACTATATGGTGCAATTAGTTGTCAGCTCAAACTTGATGTCAAGAGAAGATAGACTAAAATCTTGATTTCAGGTAAGAAACAGATCAGTGATTTCTTGGTGTACAGAGGGTAGCTGAATTAGTTTTTGAAGATGAGGCCACCAGGACTCATTTGTAGAGGAAGAAGAGAAAGGAAGCAGAAGTAGAACCCATTGGGATCCTCAGAGAAGTTGAGAGGGGAGATGAGAAGACCTTGTTGAAAGAGCAACTTTAGAAAAGGAGGGGGAAGTTGAGGGGAAGACAGACCCATAGAAATCGCAAGGAGAACAGAGACATTTCAAGAAGAGATGTGGTGGTGGGTTAACCTTGGTCAGCTGCCAGACACCCACCCAGCTTCTCTCTCACTCCCCCTCCTCAACAGAGCAGGTGGAAAAAAAAGATGGAAAAAAGCCCTCATGGGTTGAGTTAAAGACTGTTTAATAAGAAAAGCAAAAGCTGCACATGTAAGTAAAGGAAGAAGGGGAATTTATTAACTATTTCCTATAAGTGGGCAAATGTCCAGCCACTTCCTGGGAAGCAGGGCCTCAGCAGGTATAATGGTTGCTTGGGAAGACAAATGCCCTGACTACAAATATATGCCCTTCCTTCTCCTTTCCCAGAGCTGTTGTTGCTGACCGTGACATGATATGGGATGGAATATACCTTTGGTCAGTTTGGGTCAGCTGTCCTGGCTGTGTCCCTGCCCAATCTCTTGTGCAGGAGGAGGGAGAGAGAAAGCCTTGACAACGTACACACGCTGTTCAGCAGCAGCCAAAACACTGGTGTGTTATGAACACTGTTTTAGCCCCAGATGCAATGCATAGCACTGTGTGGGCTGCTGTGAAGGACGTCGACTTCATAACTTCGTCACTTCGTCCCAGCCTGACCCAGTACAAATATTTAAAGGCCAATGAAAGGATGAGGAGAATGGTTGAGAGCTGGTTCTGGGAATGAATTGGGAGCAAGTCATCAGAGGCTTTATTCAGAACTCTGGAGAAGGTATTTAGGATCAAGTGAGATACTTTTCCATTGGTAATCCAAAGTGAGAAGCAGAGGTGGTTGAGCTTCAAAATCCTGTGCAGAGGAAAAAGTCAAGATGAGGGGGAGGATTCGAGCAGTGAGTCATGGGTGGAGCAAAGTAAGAATTTAGGATGCAGTAAAGTTTAGAGAATTAGTGTTTTTTAGCTAAGAATTTGGTGGAACTAAAGGAGCAGAAAATGAATTAGTAATGGAGGAAGTAATCTTGCTTTTGGGATATCTGCCAGAATGCTACTGCCATGTGTGAACAAGAGTGAAGGAAACAGATGTTGAGAGCAAGCCAGGACTGGAGTTGGCAAGCTGGACATTGTGATAGGATAGAAAGGCAAAGCGGTAAAACACGGAGAAGAATGAACTACGGAGAGAATTAGTAAGAGGGAAGAAGGCAGGAATCAGAGGGCTGAGAGCAGAAGAGTTTCATCATTCTGAGTGAGTGGGGAAAAAGACAAATTATAAGAAAATGGAAGGAAGGAGGTGGGTAGCCAAGCAGTGCTGGAATTGGCTGACCCAAGTGATGACTGGAGAGGAAGTTTAGTATTTCATCAGGCAGCGGTGTTTTGCCTTAGGATAAGGTAGAAGTTGGGGGGGTGGTAGTTTTTTTAATTTAAATGAGTGGCAACTGAGAGTGTTTTGCCGCAGGATAAGGTAGAAGTTGGGGGGGGTAGTTTTTTTTAATTTAAATGAGTGGCAACTGAGGAGTTGAGTGAAAAATGAAGATGAGAAATTACCTTCCTGAGGGATTAGATAAGTCAAGGGTTTCTTCTTGCACCTCCTCTTCATGGGTGTACAAGACCATTACTAATTAGACACAGAGTTCAAGTGAATAAACTCTTTCAGACTGGCACTGGCTATGCTGGAATCAAAAGTTGAATGCCTTCCCAGAACTGGGTTTTGAGAAGGTGTCAAGAGCAGACTGGAAGTTCAGGGCAGCTATGAAGTAGGAGGCATCAAGTTGGGGAGAGGAAATTGAGATATGGAATATAGGATGTGTGGATTGATAATCATCTTCAGTTGCAGGTATGCTACAAAAAAGCAAGCACTGTACTTGAGATTATCAATGTGGAAATAAAAATTGCTAAAAAGGGCTACTGTTCTAAGAAATATCAGGAATAAGTTCTCTGCCAATATTTATTAATAGCTTGCTATCTAGACTAATAGCTGCTGAATGTTATTAGCGATTCCTGGTGCATGTTCAATGGATCTAAAGGAGCAGTGGTTATGATTGCCATACTTTTTCATTCCAATAGTGTGGTTTTCAAACTGTTTCCGTTGTAGACTAATGTTATTTATAGATATGTAGCCCTGTGTTCACATGCTCGCTAGTCAAGGAATTTCTAACATGTTTAGCCTTGCGATTTTGTGCTGGATTTTGTCTTTTACAGTTTGATTAGTGATTTCTCTGTTCAGTTTAATCACGAGACAATTTGGAATTTATTGGCATGAGGTTTAAAGTTGATAAAGCATGTGTTGTAAATCAGATGGGTGGCATTACCCTCCTGCCAACTACTGTGTGTGAGTGTATTTTGAATGTTTCAAGGCAATAGAGATCTGTAGTGCATGAGAAGAAAAAAAAAAAACAAACCACCAAACTTAAATCTTTGACCTTTCAAACTTACCACTCTTCACTATAGGTTGGACACCACTGCATGAAGCTTGTAATGTTGGTTACTATGATGTTGCTAAAGTCCTGATAGCAGCGGGAGCTGACGTGAACACACAGGGTTTGGATGATGATACACCGCTTCATGATTCTGCTAGTAGTGGGCATAGAAATGTAAGTGTGCTGAGAGCGGGAGGGGAATAAATAAGTGGTTTGAAATAGTCATTAGAACAAATCCTGACTGTCCTGATTGCTCTCATACAGTTTTATAATTCTGCCTCTGCTGTTTTGGGGGCATCTTAAAAGTTGTTTCAGTTTTCTTTGTTTCATCTTGCTTTCATCCCACTTCTATTACCAGATATTTTCACTAGTATCTGTTTTCTTACATATTTAAAAGTTTTGCTTCTACTTTTTAAATAAATAAACATTTTAATAACTTTTTTGAGAGACTTCTACTGTATACAGTTCTCAAAAATGTCTCCAAACAGTATATGGCAGGTTTGTGTGTATATATAAAAATATTTAAAGGTATATATTATACATTTATTTTTATCTATTTGTTTATGGAGTTTGAAATAGAGCATTGATGTATATATATATTCTTATATATTTTTTAAAAAAATTACCAGTAATAACTTAGCAGAGATTGTAAATGGAGTACTGTAGGTATTTAACATTAATTTCTGAATTTGTTCTTGTTTTCCACAAACTAGATGCAGAAGTTACTCCACTGTCCCTTTATATCTCTTTTATTTCATTGCTATGTGTGTGATCTGCTGTATAAAGCAAAAAAATATAAAATATTCTTATAACAAATATACCTTCCAAACAAATGTTCAGTTTGAAAGGATCTTCTGGAAAGGCTAGAGAAATTAATTACGATAACCTGATTGTGAAAATTTTTATGGGTATCTAAACAAAAGTGGGTCTTTAGATCGATCTTGCATAAAATTGTAGTAGAGTTTTGGAGAACAGGATCTCTGGCTTGTCTGGTTACAGTATATGTATCTGTGACCATCTCACTGACATCACCTATCGGAAAAATCTGAAGTTGCATGTTAACGTATCACTGTCTGCTGAATTCCCCGTTCTTAGCATGTAAGACAAAAAACATGTAACTGATGCTGCATACTGTGCTGAAAATGCAGTGGCAATGGTATCATTGTAACTTGAACAATTTTTTGCCCTTGATGCTAGAGAAATTGATGGTTTTGCTGTACTGTATTCAGCTGGGGATGGGAGTAGTCTGTTCCTCTGGTTAGATACTTGGGTTTCTGTCAGGGCTTTTCTGAAATGCTATGAAAACCAGTACTACTGCTGCTTGAAAAACTTTTCCTATGCCTTAGAGTTGAGTGCTATAAAATTTGGAGCAAGGAGGTGAATTGAGTGCAGGGGAGTAGAGAGCTTGGTAGGTGAGGAACTAGATGAATGTGAGAAAATGCTAGAACAGCAAAAACAAAAGGCCACTGTTGCTTTTGTTTATGATAATGCTATGTCTGTGTAACAGAGGACAACTTTATTTAGTCTTCCCTGTTACCTCTTTTAACGAGCAGATTACATTGTTCTAGTTGCTGAAGTCTTGCTTTGCAGTCTCAGTTTCATATGTAGGAGTTCAGGATTGTGTATCACATCATGCATGTTTCATGTGCAATGGAAGATTTTTATGCTGGCCAAGTAACGTGGAAAACCTAAAAGTTCATTCATTTAATGCTGCAGATTGTGAAGCTGTTGCTTCGACATGGTGGAAATCCATTTCAAGCCAATAAGCATGGGGAGAGACCTGTGGATGTTGCTGAAACTGAAGAGTTGGAAATGCTGTTGAAAAGGGAGGTGCCCATCTCTGATGACGAGGACAGTTGCTCAGGTATAAGTAGCTATTTAATTGCATACTTTAAGTGCATTGATTCACCTGAAGTTAGGTGGTTTTAATCTTTTGCATAGTGTAGCTATTAAGAGTTGCTGCAGGTAGCAAATGCTATTGCTAAGGTTTTAGAGGTAGTTTTCAAATCTTTCAATCAAATTGAGTTATCTGAAATGTTCATTCTGACTTTCTTTTCCTTCTCTCTCTCTTTATTAAGCCCTTCCCACTCTCCAACCCTACCTCAGAATGTTGATTTTACCAGAGAAAGATACAGAGAAAAATACCATATTTATTATTATATGAAGTGGTTTCTTAGAGGAACTTTTTTTATTCATTAATGATTGGGGTAGAGTGTACTATCAGGAAGTTTGCTGATGACACAAAACTGGGAGGAGTGGCTGATGCACCAGAGGGTCATGCTGACATCCAGAAGGACCTTGACATGTTGGGAGAAATGAGCTGACAGGAACCTCATGTAGTTCAACAGGGGGAAGTGCGAGGTCCTGCTGCTGGGGAGAAACAACCCCAAGCACCAGCACAAGCTGGCATCTAACAAGCTGGGAGAGCAGCTTTGCAGAAGAGGCCCTGGGAGTCCTGTTGAACACCAGGCTGAACATGAGCCAGCAATGTGCCCTGGCTGCATAGAAGGCCAGTGCTATCCTGGGCTGCCTTAGGAGGAGTGTTGCCAGCAGGTCAGGGGGGGTGGTCCTTCCCCTCTCCCTCAGCCCTGGTGAGGCCACAGCCAAAATTCTGGGTCCAGTTCTAGGCTCTCCTTTTGTAAGAGAGACATGGACATACTGGAGAGACTCCAATGGAGGGTGAGGAAGATGATGAAGGGACTGGAGCATCTTTCCTATGAGGAGAGTCTGGGAGAGCTGGGACTCTTCAGCCTGGAGAAGAGAATGCTCGGGCTGATCTCATCACTGTATACAAATACCTGAAGGGAGGGTGCAAGGAGGACAGTGGCACCCAGTGACAGGACCAGAGGTGATGGGCACTACCTGAAACACAGGAGGTTCTCTCTGAACAGCAGGAAATGTTTTTTCACTGTGAGGATGACTGAGCACTGGCACAGGTTGTCTGGGGACATTGTGGAATCTCTCTCCTTGGAGATACTCAAATGCTGTCTGGACACGGCCCTGGGCGTCCCTGCTTGAGCAGGGGTGTCGGACGAGATGACCTCCAGAGGTTCCTTCTAACCTCAATCATTCTGTGATTCTGTGAAAATTATATGAGAAAGAGCATCATGTCACATTGGTAAAGTCAGTTTCTTTTTCCCTGACAATTAAAAAACAAACAAACAAAAAACCAAAACCAAAAAACACCTGAACAAATTAACAAAAAAAAAAAGAACCCAACCCTGAACCCTAGGAATGTTTTCTATTGAAGGTTTCACTGTACTTCAAGAAGGAAAAAAAAAAGGTCATATTGCCCTATGTGGAGCTAATAAATGGTGTTAACTTGGTGTTAACTTTTTCGGCATTAGAATAGCCTGAAATACAGTGTATAGTCATTCTGTTTTAAGGCACAGTCATGACGTTGCTCCACAGTATCTACTTGAACTTAGCCAAATCATTAATCTTAAGAAAAATACTTTTTCATATGCATAATAGAAACTTGTTACTACTTAGCAATTGATTCCTCAACAGTTGCCTGTCTGTGCAGGGTATTGCTTAGTTTCCATAGGCTGGTTTCCAAGAGGAGCAGAATGTTCTCCGCACTTTCTCGAGGAGTCATACTTAGAGAATAGGTCATCCATCTCGTGTACCAGAATGTTCTCCGCATTTTCTCAAGGAGTCAGACTTAGAGAATAGGTCATCCATCTCGTGTACTTCCATTGCTTTACCTTTGGTCATTTAGGAGTAAGCTGTGTGGTGTGTTCGGAATGTGGAAAGATTGTTAAGAATACAGCAAATAGGGACAGGGAAGAAAGAAGCAGCAACTACCTTGGAGGAGAAGGTTGAAGGGAAAGCACAGACAAGCCACAAGGAGCGGTTAGAGTTAAGGCAGGAAGATGATGTTGTGTACATATGATCAGGGCCAAGGGGGGCAATATATAAAAAGCTAGTAACACAGAACCAGTAATATGTTCTGGGTGCTACAGATAATATAAAAGACAATAGGGACTTCTGGGATCTATTTTACTGATACTGTGTTGTTGAATACAAAGTAGCTGAGAAGCCTGCTGGCAAAGCATGTGTCTAAACCATTGTGTACTGGCAGTTGGTCCCCAGAGGATCCTAGTGGAAATGAGGCAGAATCTTGCAGCAGAATGTATTTTTTTTTTCTCATTCAAACTTTTAATGCATTGAAACTGCTTCATCACTGACCTTACACTATTATTTCAAACTCTTCTGTTAGTTTTTATTCAGTATACGAGTCTCTAGTCCATGGTATTGAATATTACAATACTCAGTTCTTTTTAAAAAGGAAACTGATGGATTCGGCTGAAGAGACTTGACTTGGAACCTTATTTGGAGGGAACAATACATCCAGAAATTATTTTTAAATATTTTTTTGAGTTATAGGTTTTCATATGATCAGGTGATGATAACACTCCATATGTTCCCTAAAATTTAATTTTAGGAACATTTGAGAGTTTTACATTTTGGACTTGCAAGTCCAAGACATCCAGTACAACATACTGGCTCCATGCTATGCACTTGTATAGCAGAGACCAGCTGCCGTGAGTTAGAGCATAGTCTACTTTAGGCTGCCCATATCCAGCGCATAAAGGTTCATGAGGGAACTTCTTTACACAAGCGGCTTTTTGTCTTTTAAGAATAAAAGCTTCTCTCCCATTAAAACATGACTAAATAGTTCATGTGGAGGAACATAGTTTAGTTGTTAGAGAGCGTAAGAGTTGATGAATTCCTAGAGGAATGAGTTATCGTATTAAGATGTCCTTGAGAGAGTCAGGTTATGCAGGGATTATGCACAGTAGATGAGGTTTACAAAATTTGAAGTGCATTGCTTTTATTAGATTGGGATATAAATGCAAGTTAATATTTTTGCATACGTGAATGACAGCTGTAAAGTGTGAGGAGCACTTTGGTTTCATAGCCTTTTGTTTTCTCTTAAAAAGCTTAATTGTAGTGAGAAGGTTCATAGTGTGTTTTGGGTGGTTTGTTTTTTTTTTTCATTTGTATGGTATTGTGACTGCTGACCAAAACTATTTTGTCCTGAGCTAAAGTGTGAAGAATATCCCATCAATATTCAAGTAATTTTTGGTTTTCTTACTCTAGATTCTGAAGAAGCTCCATCTGTAAATCCTTCCAGTGTAGAGGGAAATGTTGATTCAGAAGCAGAAAAGGACTGTGTGGCCAATGACAGCAAACAAACAGTCCCTAGCAAGGCACCACTTCCATCTGCTCTTGATGAGTATGAGTTTAAAGATGAGGATGAAGATGAAATGAAAAAAATGATTGATGACAGACATATTCTTAGAAAAGACCTAAGGAAAGAGGATGAGACTGAAGTTGAGAAGAACAGCTTATTTGTGAAACAAGAAAAAGTTGTCTTTTCTAAATCATTTAAAAGCAAAAAGCAGAAGTCATCTAGAGTTCTGTATTCAAGTTCTGAAAGTTCAGATGAAGAAATACTTCAGGACAAGAAGATAGTCTCTCCTTGCTCTTTTTCAGAGACATCAAATTCTGATGTAAGAGTGAAGAAAGAATATATGGTTACAAATGAACACAAGCAAAAAGGCAAAGTTAAAAGGAAAGTAAAAAATCAGAGCAAAAATAAAGAGAATCAAGAACTCAAGCAAGAAAAAGAAAATGCTAGAGTAACAAATATAGCTACTTCTGGGTTAGATTCTTTAGATAAAACTAGAGAGGAAGAAACATTTAAGAAGTCTTTCACCACAAAAGAAGATTCTTCTTTACATCTGTTTCATATCACTGCTGGCAAGTCCCCGAAGCATCCCTGTGGATTAAGTGAAAAGCAGTCAACACCATTAAAGCAAGAAAACACCAAAACTTGCTTATCACCAGGAGGTTCTGAAATAACATTGCAATCCGAATTAGTTCGGTATGATCACAACACTGATTCTGAATATCTAGTAGAAAGTTCTAGTGGCAAATCTTGCAAGCACAAAGAAAAAAGCAAGCATCATCAGAAAGATTTTCACTTAGAATTTGGTGAAAAATCTAGTCCTAAAATTAAAGAGGAAGATAATAGCTCAACATTTGAGAATACAGAGTATACTCTGAAAAAGATTGATAAGGAAGGTAAAACACTTAAAAAGCATAAATTAAGGCACAAAGAAAGAGAAAAGGAGAAGCACAAAAAAGAACAGGATGGGGAAAAGGAAAAACATAAACATAATGTTAAAGAGGTTCAGAGAAGTATTGAGTTTGACAGAGAATTTTGGAAAGAGAACTTTTTCAAAAGTGATGAAAATGAAGATACATTGTTAAACGTAGAACATGAATCTCTTTCTTCAGATAGAAAATCAAAGCTAGAAAAAGCTGTGGGAAAAGATGATAAGTTAGTTAAGGAGAGACACTTCCAGAAAGAGAGAAATGCTAAAGAGGAGAGGGAGAAAGAGAAGAACAAAAAGGAAAATGAGAAGTTTCTCAAGGATGAAAAAATAAAAGATACAAAAGAAGAAAAAGAAATCGTGCTTGCAGATAAAGAAATTGAATTGTTCTGCTTTGGTGTTAAAGATGAGGCAGCCAGCATGCATTTAATAGAAAAAGAAACAGATACTGAAAAGCAGGAAAAGAATTTAAAGGAAAATAAAGAAAAGACTGAAAAGCGAACTTCAGCCAAAGAAAAAGATGTTGAGAAGATAGAAAGAAAAAATGGAGAAAAAGAGAAAAAGGTAAAACATGAATACAGGATAGAGAAAGAAAAAACTGAAGTAAATGAAAATATAGAGAAAGTAAAGGAAAAGCCGAATTTCCAGCAAGCAGAAAAATGCTATAAGGAAAATGATAAAATTAAAGGCACAGGTGCTGTTAAAAAACTTGATGACAAAGAAAGAAATAAAGAAAAAACTGATAAAAAGCATGATAAAGAAAAGGCTGATAAAGAGAGGCATTGGGCTGAAAGCAAAGAGAAACACTGTACTGAAAGAAAAGTCAAACAGTCTGAAAAAGAATCTGAATATACTAAATCAGAAAAAAATAGAAATAAAGACAAAGAACTTGAAAAAAAAGACAAATCCAAAGACAAGGAGATCTCAACAGCAGCAAACTCAAAACATGTGCAAGAGGAAAGGAGGTGCAATATTACAGAAAGTAATAAAACAGTGCATGACAAACTGTCATCTTTGAAAGAAAAACCAAAAGATGATTTACTGAAAACTCCAGATGGTAGAGAGAAAGATAAAAAAGATAAAGATATAGACCGATACAAAGAGAGAGACAAGCATAAAGATAAACTGCATCAAAGTAGTTTACCTAAACTGAAACCTGAACATGAGAAACTAAAGGCTAAACCAGCTCCTGCACCAAAGGATGTTCGACCTAAAGAAAAAAGATTAGTCAATGATGACTTAATGCAAACTAGTTTTGAAAGAATGCTTAGCCTTAAAGATCTGGAAATAGAGCAGTGGCATAGAAAACATAAAGAAAAAATAAAACAGAAAGAGAAGGAACGTTTAAGAAACCGCACTTGTTTAGAACTTAACAAAATGAAAGAAAAACCAAAACACTCATTAGCTGAAGTAAAAAGCAAAGAACTGATTCGTTCGAAAAGCTCAGAGTTGCCAGATGTTTGTATGAAGGAAAAACACCAGAAAGATGCTACAAGTAATAGATCGCTATCAGTAGATACAAGAAGTGTCAATGTTATGAAGCCTTCATCGGTTTTAGATAATTTAAATAGATCCCCCAAATCAGAAAGTGAAAAGACAGGTCTGAGCTCCAGATCGGTGTCCATGGTTTCAGTTGCAAGCTCTGAGGATTCTTGTCATACCACAGTAACTACTCCAAGGCCTGTAATCGAATATGATTCAGACTTCATGCTAGAAGGTTCTGATTCCCAAATGTCTTTTTCACAATCACCATTTTTGGCAAGTGCCAAATCACCAGCCCTTCTTGAAAAAGAGACTGATGGTCTTGCTGAGTTGCCAGATCGCATTAAGCCACCTTTCGCAAACAGGCTTCCACCAGCGTACATTAGATCAGCATCTGTTGAAGATGTTAAACTGGTTTTAAATGAGTGTAGACCTGTTGTAGAGGTTCGAAGATGCAGCATGCCTGCTGCTGTTTCTGAACACAGCAAACAGCCTCAAATGTCAGAAGAAAATAATCAGGATGCTCTGCTGTCAGTTCAGACTTCTGCTAACACTTCTCCTAAACCAGAACTTCCGTGTAGCATGCTTGAAAGAGATTTTCAAAGTAGTATGTCTGGTTTGCAGTTAGCAGGTGCAAGTACCATTAAAAATATTGCTCAGATGAGCCCTTCAGAAGACTATAATGTGCATTTAGCGCCATGTAGTCAAAGTGGTGTGACTCAGCAAACCAAACCGTGGGATGTGCCTTTTGACAGACTTAATTCATTAAACAGTGAGTTTAACAGCTCAGGTTATGGTGTATCAGAGCAAGATACTAACAATGTTACAGCAACACATAATTCTGAAAACAGGACATTAAAAGAGCAACAAGTATCTGAATGTTTGCCTCAGCATGCTGAAATTAAAGCAAGTTCCAGTACTCAAGGATCTGCATCATTTGTGCCTTCACAGTCACCTTGTTCTTTACCTGTCCAGCCACTCCCAGATGTGTCTAAACACATTTCTTTACCAGGCGTTAGCAGTCAAGATTCATCATTTGTACAACAACAAAATCTAGTTCAAACTACAACTTCTACTTTGAACATGGATGCTACTAGTAGCAAAGAGCTGGAAAATGCTCTTTTCATTAAGAAGGCTGAGGCACCCATTGCTGTATATTCTGAGAGTTCTGCGAAGGATATTTCACAGAGCTATGAAAGGGTGAATGATTTACCTGCAGTACCAGTAGAAAAAGATATTCCTGAAAGTGATAGCAGTTCACAATTAAGTGTAAATTTGTACACATTCAGTAAAGTTGTTTGTAAGAACGTTCAGAGTGATGTGGATAGTAACACAGCAGATACTTCAGACATTAGAAATGAAAAAGGCCAACAAGAAAAGTTGGTTTCAGTGCATGTTGCTGATAATAAAGCTGACGTTGATCTCTGTGAAATAAATTTGGGAATGTCAAAGGGAATTATGAATGAATCAGCTAATAAAAAACCCTGCACTGCAGACAGAGAAAATGTGTTGACAGATGATGCACCACAGTATTCCTCTTTATCTAATTTGGAAAATAGTTCACAACAGATTACACAGGAGGAGGTGCATAAATACAGCCAAACAGTTAAACTAGAAGAAGAAATTGCCGAGGATCAGAAGGTGGAACAACAAGAAGTACCTCAACGAATCACGAGGAACAGAGCAAATATGCTTGCTAACCAGGGTAAGCAGAATCCTCTTGGCTGCACACAGGCATCAGAAAAAGAATCTGAATCATCAGCGTCTATGAAAGCAAGGATTAGATTAACTGAAGAGGATGATGCTCAGGTACATCATCCACGTAAAAGAAAGGTGTCACGTGTGCCTCAGCCTGTGCAAGTGAGCCCTTCTTTACTGCAGGCTAAGGAGAAAACCCAGCAGTCCCTGGCAGCTATTGTTGATTCTTTGAAACTTGAAGAGATTCAGCCATACAGTTCTGAGAGAGCAAACCCGTATTTTGAATATTTGCACATAAGAAAAAAAATAGAAGAGAAGCGTAAATTACTGTGCAGTGTAATTCCTCAGGCGCCTCAATATTATGATGAATATGTGACCTTCAATGGCTCATACCTACTGGATGGCAATCCCTTGAGCAAGATATGCATCCCAACTGTAAGTAACATTGTCTTTAAATATTAAGTACAATGAAAGGCATCTTTTGGTTTTATTTTTGTAACTTTCACATTCTTCCTAACTTGTTTCTGAATACTTGTGCTGAAAATAGTAAGTTGATATATATCAAATTAATATTGACCAGTAATGTTGTATTTAAAAGCCCCATTCAGTGGAAATATAAACAGTGGTTTCACAGCCATTGCAGGACAAACCATGATGGATTACACCTGTAAAAGGCACACAGACAAATATTATATTTCAAAGTATTGACTATGGTAAAACCTACCCTTTCAAAAGTGAAGTCAGTTATTGAAAGCTTCTCTGAATTTCTGCTGGCAATAATTTGGTTAAAACTCATTACTCAAAGTTGTGTCATTTGAAGGGGGGGGGAGGTGCATTTGCAGTGCTTCAAAATATTAACTCCATCACCAAAGGTTTTAAGTAGGGAGTGCCTGCTAGCTGTCTCAGTTGCTCCTTAATATCCTCAAGAGCAGCAAATGTAATCTCCTGTGTCCTGGCTTTTGTAATCCATCAGTTTAAAGTGTTATGAATTTTATTTAATAATGTGAAATTCTTTTCCTTTTCACTGAAGAACATCCATAGTTCAGCAACACTTATTTAATTCTAATCTCTCCATAGTTCTGACACAGGCATGTCCCTGATGACAGTGGTGAAGGAGGTCAGTGCATAATTGGCTCAAGTGCAGTTAATATTACTCTTTGCTATGGAGGTGCCCCTCGAGGTGTCTCACTATAACACGGTTACTACTGGTCTCTGTTCTGAAGTCAGCATAATCATGATAGCGCCTGAATCGTACTTTGTTTCTTTGCTCCTTGGCAAACCTGGTTCTGTGTTTATCGTTCTATGTGGGGAGACAGGACAGACCAGAAACATAACTGCATCAAGGGTTTTCTGAAGTACTCTTACTCCTGGGAGTAGGAGGTTTTCTATTTTTTCACCTGTTATCTGATCCACCTAAACTTCTCTAATACTGAGGTAAAGCATATTAGCTTAAACCTGTTTGAATGGTTTCAGTTAACACGTGTAATAGCTGAAATACACCCCATATTTGATTTCCTAAAGCAGTTGTTTGGCTGAAGTACAGTAGCTTGGTAATGTCAGAATTCAGGAGTATTTGATTGTATGCCCATTACTTAAGATGTGTCAAGTTAGGAAAAGTCTGAATTTAGGAGTAATGCAGAGAATATCTTAATCCTTGAATGAAAAGAATGCCTACTAAACAGAACGGTTTGTTTATATGAAATTTCATATGCATAAGCCAAGCATCCAGTCTTCAGCCTCTGTATTACTGATTGGAGTAGTTATTATGCCAACTCATTTGAGCTAACTCACCCCTACTTGAGATGTAGCCTTAGGTTTTTCTAACAGAGTTGAAGATTCTTTTGATTAAGCAATGAAAACAAATCTAATGTATTAAAGTAAATTTAAAAAATATATTTGCTTTATTCTGCAGATATTCATAATCCCCCATAAAAGCTTTTTCTTCTCATTTTTCCACTATGCCCCCTGTGACTGCCCAAGAGAACTAATATGCATATCCTCTTAATGTTAAGTGAGTTCTCTCTCATTTGATGGTGACCACAGTTCTTTGAAATTAGTAGGTCAATTATAGTCTGAGGAAAGATGTGGCTAAGATGGCCCTTTTTACTTGGTCTGTGAGTGAACTAGGATGTATAGTAAGCTTTTCTACAATGTAACTGGGCTGTCATCTTTCCCAAGTCTACAAATCTGTCTCAGTAGCTGTTGCAGCTTCTGTAGTACATCTTAATCACTGGAAGCAGAGAAATTTTTTTATAGCAGCTGCTAGTCAAGTACATACTGTTTCCAAGCTACAACTTAACTGCTTTGGCATCACACTTCAGTGCTTAATTTGGGGTAAGCAGAAAGTGGAGAAGTGCAGCATGTTTTTTTCCCTGGCCCATCCTCTACCTGGGCAATAGAATTAATTTCCCTGTCATAAATGGCAATGTGTGTAGGCACTGTAAGAAAAGGAGGGTTATTTGACTTGGTATTGAAGCACTGCCTCATACTTCCTTCCTGTCTCTCTTGCTGTGTGTAATAGACTCAGCAGTTCATGAAAATAAATGCAAATTCTTGGGTAACTTAGGTTCAGAATATATCAAGAGATGAATGCGTGCTTCCCATTCTCAATAGCTTTTAATTACTTGTTGAAAAGAAAAACCTCTTAAAGTTCATAAAATTTGAATATGTACTTGAAGGATTACGGTTATTGATTTTTAGCTCATTTGGATTTCTGGGTTGCTTCCCTGCACGTAACACACAGGTGTTCTGGTGATACTGATGTTACTTGTTTTGTATATGCCTTCATGGTACTGTTAATCTTCCATAGTTGTAAAAAGAACAGGTAGAACTTTTGATTCCAGGCTGTTAGGAACAAAAGGGAAGAAAAAAAATTTTGAGAAGCCAAAATAAATTATTAGGAAATTGGTGATTATTTCAATTAGGAGTAAAGTGTAAGAAAGCAGCAGGAGTTTTAATCTAAAGAGGGAGATACTTTAAGCACTTTAGTTTTGTTTATCTGAAAAATCATCTACAATACAGCTAAATGCTTTGTCTAATTACTGTGACTTGTGTAAATACACAATCTTTATAGAATTTATCATGTTCCTTTCCAGAAAAAAGATACTATTAAAAAAACTTTAGTGGTTCAGATTTAACTTCTCTGCAGAGCTTGCTTGTGTATACAATTTAATAATTTGTTTTTCACCACTGAAGATCACCATCATAATAGTTTCTATTACAAGTGCAGTAAAAAGGAGCATTGCTAAACCAGAGGTCATTTCACGCTCAGAAATTAGTTTGTTTTTATATTGTACACATTGTCCAACAGCATGAAAATAAGGGCTATGCCTAGTCTCTACAGTTGTGGAATATTAATAACATGTACATGTTGTTACGCATATAAAGTATAATTTAATATGCAACTGTAAAATGACCTTTCTGTTAGGATTGTTTTTTAAATTTTTCCTCTGATGGTTCTTTAATGATTCTCTGTTAACCTGATTTTTGCCTCATTCATTTACATAGGCTATGGGAAAGTAGACAC